ATTGAATATGAATCTGAATTATTATTTTTATTTTTTTTTTTTTAAAGTACATTTAAAGACAAAAATTTCCAAAAAAAAAAACATCCCAAAAAGTCAATTTTCAAAAAAGTTACGGTTATTTAACAAAAAAAAAAGCTGTTTTTTTGTAATAACTTGTAACTTTTTTTTGGTTGGGTAAAAAAATTTGAAAAAATTCTAAAAATTGTTTTTAATAGGGTAGAGAAAGATACCAAAATTTCAGAAAAATCGAAAAGGGTCGGTGTCAAAAGTGGTCGATTTGGCATGGAATGCCCCATATATAGCAGCTTATATTTCCTCAAGCAAACACTAATTATAATCATAATAATAATAAAAGACGTACTGTTAATTCTTGTATGATTGCCCCTGTTCTCCAGCCATGCTCCAAGGTGACATCCGCCAAATCGCTGTACGGATGATCTCCAAAATAAAGAACCTGATGACCTCTCCATCCTGTCATATCTTGCAATTGCTTAACAGTTCCCTTAAAAATTTAATTTAAAATTAAATTTAATTCCTAAACTCAAAATAATTATTGCAAAAAATTATTTTAAATTTACTTCGAGATATATAGTCCCTTTTTCAAGCTTTGTCACTCGGTCCCAAAGCTGCGTTTGTTGAATTTCATCGTAAACTCTCAAAGGTCTAGATTCGTCCGTAAAAAATCTTGGCTTTCTAGCTTGTACTATTACGACATCAAAATAATATTTCCAATCATCTCCAACTAGGAATTTCATGCCTTTATTCCTGAAGAAGAAAATAAAAAAAAAAAGTTCAAAATAAAATTCATTAAAATAAAATACAAAAAACAAAATAATAAAAAACAGAAAACTCTGCTATGGTTTAGTGGCGCAATAATTTTAAGATGAGAAAAAAAAATACTATAGTAAAATTTATATATAGATATACAAATACACAGTCGTATCTTAGTTTTTTATAAATAATAATTAAACGACAGTGAATTGAACGATCATATTAATTGAGAAGGTCCTTAGTATGTTACTTTAGATGATAAAAAAAAATTATTCCGGTAGGATTATTTTTTCGAGCAATTTTCCTGCCACATGCGCGGATCCATAAACACAGACACACGGACGTCAATTAAACAAAATAATTGTTATTGAAATATATTTTATGTGCCTGACAGATTATTTGACTTGATATAAGTGCGCTCATATTATCCTGTAAGTGCGATATAAGTAAAAAAAAATCAATTTCAGTTTTGAGAAAACTGCTTTCTTTTGACATGTCGAGAGTAGAGCACTACCTCAACGCTTCGCTTATAAGGCGTGCAATTAGACAGTTTTTATATATCTATATTTTTTTAAGTATTTATTTTGGGGATAAAAAATTAATAAAAACAAATTTTTTAATTAGTTTTGAAGCTTTTACGGTTGCAAAAATTGAATGCTTACTGAAAATAGTTGATCAAATTTATTCAAATAATTAGATAATATAAATGTAAAAAAAAATTTTTATATACATTTTTTTAGGTCAAAAAATTTTAATTCTTTAAAAATTTTCTATTTTTGATGAAGTCAATAAATTTTGAAAGAATATTTTATTATATTAAATTTATGGCTTGAGATAAGAAGTTTTGATTATGGGGTATGCAATAACTAAAAAAATTTACAAAGAAAAAATTATTTTTGACTTACACAAAATGAAACGGACTGTTTGTTACTAAAAACATTTTTTTATTCGCTGCTTTGAGACGGTCGAAAAATTTCGTGAGATCTTTGTTTGGCTCAAGGTAGTCAGAAACATTATTGGCGACCAATTGATGCATAATGGGGTGACAACTTTGTACAGAATTCTGTTAAGTTAAACAAAACTGTCAACTTTCATAGTTCTGGCATTATATTTATAATAATAGTCGATTGATTTTGTGATAGTTACTTTTACATCTCGGAAAAGTATCTCTGGATGATAATCGATTTGATTTTGCAGAAAATATTCCGTAACGTTGCATAATAATCCCATTTCTGGGACAGAAAATAAATCGGCTAATTGTACCATTTTTTGCCGATTTGGTCCATCCTGAATAAAGTATAAAAATTTGGTGATATATTTATTATTTTTATATAGTAAATTTGTAATCAACTAAATTGTTAGTACTAAGTATAATAAATCAGGTACTCTATGCCAAACCGGTCATTTTTAAGTGACTTTTTTTAGGTAGGTTCAAAATCCCTTAAAAAAGTGACTGATTTAGTATAGATTTCTTTAATTAATTAGTTAGTGAAGTAGATAGAGAAATTTAAATTTACCTTCTTCTTGTTTTCCATTATTGATAACAATCGATCGCACGATTAAACAATTACATGCAAGTGAACAGACAGAAAGTTAGTAAATTACTAATAAGTATGCTTTGGCTTTGGATAAATGGAACACAATAAACTCTTCGGGTAAAATGGACATCGAATATTTGTTAGTAAGTTTTAAAAATTTTTGTAACACAATTTTTAATCTCTAACAAACTGTGCCACTTATAGAAGGATTTAGTACGGAATACTAAACTGATTTAGTAACAAAATTTTTAGTCATTTATTTAGGAGAAATAAATATTTTTTACCCATTAATATTATTTGTTACAGTTTAATAAATCGTTTTTTTATTCTAAATAAATTATATTAATATAAACAAAGCCTTATTACATGAAAATAAATATTTGTTTCCACCAAATAATATTTAGTAAGGTAAAGTACCCAGTAGTTGAACAGGTTTCAAAGTAAAACGTATTTTACCCTATTTTTAATATATAAAGAGGTAATTATTAGTTCAAATTAGTGATTTTCATGAAAATATAAACAATTTTGAATTGATTGAAGTGCAAAATAACGCAAATAATTGAATATTTATAATTTGACAACGTTTTTAAGATAGACTATGAAAGGAGTAGTAGTTGAACAATCAATTCTGATAAGCCGCAGTAGTT